TGCTGCACGCGCCGGCCTGCCTGCCGGACCACTGGCTGCGGCGAGTGCTGCGTGCGGCGCTGCGCCCCTTGCTCCTGCACTGCCCACCCGCGCACTACGCCGATGTCGCCTTGCCCCTACTGGAACACCTCGCACCATTCAGTCAGTACTTGAACTTTGACTGCTTCGATACATTGCTGATAAACTACGATAAACATCCTTAATGATGTATGTTTTTTGTACGGCAGTGCTGGTGCATCTGTCGCAGCGCTGGGAGTACGTGACGTCACTATATGAGTCGGGTAAACTGGAGGAGGAGGGCGGCAGCGAGTCGCAGGAGGTGCTCGAGGACATGCTCGTGCGACACCTCACTAGGGAACATCTCGAGCTACTAAAGGTATGTACACGTGCCTAAATACGACTATAAATGTCATTTCGATTTGAAGAGTAATTAAACCATTGTTGGGTTGTTGTCAGATCTCGCTAGTGGACACAGCGGGTGGGGGCGGCGGCGGGGGTGAGACGGGCGACATGGAGGAGGAGAGCGCGGCGCCGCAGCGCGCACCCGAGCACGTGTCCGAGCTGGGCGCGCTCGTGCTCGCAGTGCCTGTGCTCGGCCCCACCGTGCTGCACACCGTTAGTACTAAACATTAATAAATCTACATCACATATTGCCTTGCCTACCTCTTAGTGCACATTCATACTTAATATACACTATACAAGTTCTTTAGTGACCATTAACGACTTTGATTGTGGTAGATAAATTAGAGAAAGAGAGATATTGTACACATTTGATGTGCAGATACTGCGTGCACTGACGTGGAACGACTCGACGTCTTCGCTGCGCGCGTGTGCGCTGGCGCTGCCGGCGTTACGCGCGGCGCTGGCTGCAGGTCGTGTGGGCGCGGCGGACGCGAGCGGCGCGCTGGCCGCCGTGCTGCAGGCACTTCGCACGCATGGACAACACGATGCCAACCAGGCAGCACTGCTCGCTCTCGCCGTACAGGTCGGTGTACTAGTTAATTTAATATTTAAGATATGTAAGTAAGTCTTTAAGAAGTGTGTGTGTTTGTGTGCGTGCT